ACCAAGGTAAAGCAGGACCTATGCAACAAGAGTTGTAGCTTTTGGGTCTGGTAAGGTCAGTGAAATCCCTTCAGGATTTATCCTGAGATCCTGTACCTCAGATTATAGAACCTTTGTCAGTGTTAGCCATGTGGATGAGTCACTGCCATTGCTTGGCCAATGTGCTCTCTGTGAAAGCCTGAGAGAACGTTTTCTCTCCATGTGTCCTGTGACTTTCAATACAGTGTGTATGTAGGCCTCCCCTCCCTTTCATACATTCAATTGCATACTTGATATCTCTATATGGTGTCGCTTCTCCATGTGTAAACTCAAATAGCCTGGACAGAACTCTTGATCTAGCCTATCCTATACCTGCCCAGTCATATCCTCTGAAACCTTCCAGTTGCTTTCCAATCCACTTAGAAAAGAGCCAGAACTCTCGACCCTTTTGCTTCCAAAACTTAAAAGTCTGGTGTCTCTCTTTATTCAAGTTCTTTCCTGATCTCTTTGCTTTGCCTGTGCCTGCACCTGCCTAACCTTTCTCTGAGCTGTGTTGTGCTGACCTTTCAGATTTCAGCTTTGGGGCCTCCTGCTCTTAGACCTCTTCCCTGGGAACCTTACCTGAAACAGCCACCCACCTATTCTCCATCACATAGGGTTTAGAACTATTCCGTATTTTCTTGTCTTTTAAAAACTGAGCTGCAGTGGATTAAAGTGTCTGTTTAGGCAGAGTGCAGGAACCTGGGTTTGATTCCCAGTGTGCTGTGTCTGACCTGCCCCCGGGGGCATGCTGAGACAGCAAATGAGACTGGGTGTGGTAGCATATGCCTGTAATCCCAGTGCTCGGGAGGCTGAAAACAGGAGATCACTATGAGTCCGATCTGTGTAGTGAGACCCTGTAGATGCTGTGCTAAATACAGTTTTTTAAAAAGTAACTTAAAAAAAAAAAACCAAAAACTGAGCTGCATGTTTGCTTCTCTGTCTTCCTCCACTACACTGTAAGCTCGATGCAGATAGGAAGCCGATCAGCCTGGTTCACAGATGCACAGAATGGAGAAGAGGGCATAACAAAGAAGACACCAAATATTTGCTGAATCAATGCAGGTATAAATAGATACCAGTTGCCCACATTCCAGGTTTTAGCTTTAATATTTATACACCGAACTGGAAAATTTGATGTTAGAACTTTTTTTTTTTTTTTTTGGCGGAACCAAGGGTTGAACTCAGACCCTCGCACTTGCAAGGCAAGCACTTATTCTACTGAGCCATTTTCCTGGCCCCCTGTTAGAACTTTTAAAATATTTAAAATGTTTGGAGCTTGTTCCTTACAAATAAAATAATATTTTAATGGTGATTTTATATATCAATTAATGAAACAGAAGTTCAAGTTATGATTTCCTACAGGTACTGTGATTTTGAGTAGTTAAATCTTGTTTTAGAGTGTCCTAAAACAATTATGAGTTTTATGGGAATGGGTAGAAAGGAAGGAAAATAACTGCAAAATAGATGTTCAAGCTTTTATATAGTCAAACTATAGAATAAAATACATCTGAATGCTTAAAAAAATCACCTCTGTAATACTTTGGCAGCTTGTATTTTTCTTAGAAACAGTTACATATAAAGTTAGACTATTTAATAGCTTCATTTACAAGACTTAACTATCTTATATCTATTGTAATCTTTCTTTCAGAGAGAAAAATCTATGATTTAATGAAAAATTTTGGGTATACCTTATAAATACTTCAGGACCAAGGACAAAAATCTCTCACATAATTGGAGTAGGTGGCAATGCCTTAACCACATGGCTGTTGTCAGACCCGAGGGCCTCTTCCATCCTTGTCAAAGGGAGTGCTAACCTTCTCTCCTTTCATACAACACCATAACTGGATTGTTCTCTGTTGCTGTTGTTTCTCTCTCTCTCTCTCTCTCTCTCTCTCTCTCTCTCTCTCTCTCTCTCTCTTTCTGTTTCTTCAGACAGGGTCTCACTGTTCAGCTCAGGCTGGCCTTGGACTCAATTTGTAACTCAGGCTGGCCTCAAATTTGTGGCAATCCTCTTGTCTCAGCCTCCCAAGTTCTAGGATTACAGTGTGTGTCACCATGCCTGGATACACACTTATTTCTTGATCTGTTTCTTGAGGATTAATTCCATACTTACCCAGGGGAACTTTGCAGACAACTCTTCCATAACCAAGTGAACATTCAACTTTTTTCCAAGTTTCATTTGAAGCTAACAAAATGCTACATTTTCCATCACCACTCTTACTTTTACTTTCCCACTTCACAAACGTCACTCCTGATCCATCAAACCAACTCCAAGACTGATCTGAAGAAAGATATTAAATATGACTATATTCAATGCTACTGAATGACTGAATTAAAAGTATGTGGCTCAAATAAATTATTTACTTCGAATTGTGTTGTCCTTATAGGATAGCCACTATTTAAAGGCAAAATTCATTAAAAATGAACAGAAACTACAAATAACTCCTTTAGTTGCACTTGTCATATTTCAAGTACTCCTTAGACATACATGACTAGTGACTGCTATGTTAGCGCGCAAAAGATAGAGCATTTTCATCTTTGTAGAAAGTCTATTGGACACTGATACAGAATATGGCACTTTGATTAAGATGCAGAATGCATGCACATTTACTGTGTGAGACAGATGTCGGCATATCAATATGCCTCCTTATTTAGGAAGGCTTCAAGCTTCAAAGCCACGCTCTGGAGGAGGAAGGCAGGCCTCCCCACCCCAGCCCCAGCACCACCAACCTTTGTTTTCCAGCTGAGGCAACACCACCTTGTGGTGAAAGGGTAAATACAAGTTCCAGTTCATCTCCATGCTCACCCCAATTTTTTGAAACATACTTTATACATAATATTTTAGAATTCACATTTGTTTAAATTAATTAAAATTCAATGAATAAAGTTTTATGAAACAGACTTTCTACTCTTCTACCAAGTTTGCATCTTTCTTTTAAAATCAATTATCGGTAAAATCACTTAAGATAGTTTTGATTGGTGGTAAAAAATATCCTAAGAGGGAAAGGGATAATAAGATAATTTTCTCATGGACTAGGATGCTAAAGAAAGTTAGCTCATGGGTTCCTAGTGGGGACATGGACCTCAGACATTGCTGAAGGAAAAAAAAATCCTTATGTTTATCCAAGGATCTTAGGAATAAACTTCTAGAACAACTTTAATTGACTTCACCTGATTTTCCATCATTACTAATAACTTACTTACATAGTCATTCAAAATTTATAAGCCTCCAGACCAGCTGTGGGGCCAGCTTATTCATCAGTGAGAAGCATTTGAATCAGTCACTACTTGACATTCTGCAGCAAGGCTGACATGGTGCTCAAGACCTCCCTGCTCACGCTATACATGCAGACAGGTCACTTACCAACAGAATGTTGAAACAACCCCAGCCAAACTCTCATGGTAATATTATTATTTTCCCGCATCAATCTGCTCACAAATTTATTCTCATTTTCGTCCTTTATACTGACAATAGTTGCAGAATGATCTGTTGAAGGAAAGCAAGTTGCACCTAATTAGTTCTACGTAAACTTGCAAATGGTTTACTTTGGACTAATCATTTGAGAAAAAAAATCTATCATGAAAAAGATCATTAAAATAGTCAAGCTTTACACAGGGATTTTTTAAAAAAAAACATTTATATCAAAATTTAAAAGTATTATAATTCCCCAAAAGTTAGAAATATATTTAAACTGAAACTTTTTATATAGAAATGTTGTGTTTCTTCAAAATATTTATCACGCACTTTTTATGTCAGAGCTGCCAACAAGATCTTTGTGTTTGAACAACTAGTCAGAATAACCACAGTTCATGATGATAGAAATATGTGTCACACTATGGATCTTTAGTGCTTTCTCTTCAATGTATATTTTTTGTAATTCAGCTTTAAACTTACTTCTGCTAAAGTGGAATTATAAATGAATAGGTTTGGGATACTGGGGAGCATTAGCCCTGCTTTAATACTATCTTATACATAAATGTAGTTGCTCATGCTCACTGTGAGTTCCTAAAAATAGTTTGGATTTGAACAAGTGAATGTTTGTGAGGTTTGATAGGTTTCCTACACCCAGCAAGAGGTAGAAATAAGTAAAAACTAGACTTGAAAACCAGTCCAAAATTCAATCAGTTATAGTACCTATGCCAGCAACAAGCCTATCCATAGTTGACCTAAAACATTTCTGTTGTGATGAGAGGTATCTTTAAGAGAAGGAAAGGAGAGCCAGCTATGGTGGCACATAATACCAGCACTAGAAAGGCTGAGGCAGATGAATCGCTGGGAGTTCAAGGTCAGAGGGACTGCATAGTGAGCTCTAGGCCAGCTGGAACTGCATAGCAAGATCTGGTCTCAAAAAATAAAATCATAAAAGAGGAAAGGAAGGAAGGAAGAGAGAGAGGAAGGGAGGGGGACAGGGAGGGATACAGGAGGAAAGAAAAGAAAAGAGAAAAGAAGAGAAAGGCTTTGCCCCTTCATAGTCCACCATAATGTGCAGATGCTCTATGTTACCATGTTTAATATTATACAGTGAGGCAGATATTACCTGGAGATGTGAGAAAACAACTCAAGGAATTGATTGTTCATATTTACAGATAGCCGTTTACAGAATTAGGCACTCTTAAGCTTTCCTTTTTTGTCCTTTTTGCAGTACTGGGAATTAAACCTGGGGCCTGTGTATGTTAAGTAGGTTCTCTACAGGGATGTATCCACACCCCTTCTCTGAAACTTTAAATTCTAAGGGAGAATCTCACTAATTTCCCATGCCCACCTTGAACTTGGGAACTTCTTGCCTGAGTTGCTGAGATAATAGGCATGTGACACTGTATTGCACCAATCTAGTTGGTCAGATGATTGTGGGTTATTGTTAAAGTGTATTGGGTGAATCTAAATATTTTTAATGAAGAGAATAGTTTTGAAAATTCACTCTTTACTGTGTGCTGTGCTTAATCTGTATATGTCACCTCATTTCATTCCTGCACCTGCCCAAACTGTACCAACCTTTGAAGTACTATTTTCATTCTCAGTGTTTAGATAAGAAAACAGAAACAATATGTAAATTCCACAGTGTCACTTAGATGGTACTTGTGAGACCTGCAACTTGAACCTTCACCACTGAGATAAAAATTTGACCCACACACTATCTATTTATAGTAAATCTTTTTTTAAATTTTTTCCCTTAGGAGGAATAGGTTTCTGACTTGCAGAATAAATACACAGATTATAATAGTTTCCATCATGTACATAAATGTATAACACACAATAATTCCCACATAAAATTCTCATTATGTAGTTTTTTTTTTTCATGAGAAGAAAGGAAATTTTATTGACATCAGTGGACACCAGAAGAGCATTCTCCAGAGTATGAGGTGAGGTTTACAGAGAGTTTGTCTTTTTATAAATTGGTCAACAGGGGTTACAGGCAGTAAGCTTCTAGCTGCAGGCCATGGTACAATGGGTATCTTGTGGTAAGCATAGCTATATGTAGCAAAGTTGTTGTCACATATTAATAGGAACTTAAATTTGGTGGCAAATCATATGATTTAGCTGAGTTTAGTGGTAGAGACAAGAATGGCCGCAGCTTTATTGAACAAAGTGGCTGCAGTTAGGTCAGGATTTCTGTTTCACTGTCATATACTCCTTACTCATGTCTTAGATATCTCTCCAGTTTTCCATTGATTCTCAAGTTAATTCAACAGCCACTTTTTGCAGGGGAGCTGTAGAGCCTGTCAAGCTTCATGTTCTAGAATATGGCTCTTGAGCTTCCTATGATCATTGTGGAGTGTGTAACATGAAAGAGATCAAGGCTGAGAGGACTAGGGATTCAATGTCAGTCTTCATGTTTGACCTAACAAGGGGCCCTCAGATATTTTCTCCTTTAATCCCCAGAGCATTGGGATGTTTGAAATCAAAGCAAGCACGTCAATTCATTCCTCTATTAAGTATGGCTAACAGAACACAAAATTAGAGCAAAACCCACAACCTACAGTGAGACCAATTCTATTTTATTTTATTTTTTTAAATAATTGATTGAGAAATAGCAATGAGACAGTTTCAAATCCAATTACTAACACAGTTTCAATAATCAATACATTGCATGTTGTTGTCTTAGTGGTTATTCATTGTACAAGATGCAGATATGATATCCTGTCCACAAACACTATTAGAACAAATCTCTCTATTCATTAAGAGAATGCAGCCATATATCTATCCTAACTATTTTGAATATACAGATACAAAATAGTCTTTCATTTGTATGCTCCTTTTTTGTTTAGTTTTTTTAGAGAAGGGTATTCCATTGTCATTTAAATATTGTAGGTGCGTGAATTCAGCAAAATATTCCAATATAGTTCAGCAGTCCATAATAGTAGTGGGTTTTCCATAGGACTGGCAATATCAGAAGTTGTTGACTTGAGCCTTTTACAGCTCAGCATATTAGTATGGCTTTATACTTCATTTTTATACTTTTCTGCTGGATGGTTAAGACCAAGATAAAGCAAGACCTATGTAACAAGAAATGCAACTTTTGTATCTGATAAGTTCAGTCAAATCCCCTCAGGATTTATCCTGAAACCCTTTACCGCACTTTGTAGATTCTTTGTCATTGTCAGCCATGTTGATGAGTTATGGCCATTGCTTGACCAATTTGTTCTCTGTGAAAGCCTGAGAGAATGTTTTCTCTCCATGTGACTCTCCTTAGGCACACTACATCATCAATCACTTTCCTCTGTGGCCCCATAATCTCCTTGATCAGAAAATTTGGGACACAACTGAGTTACATGATGTTACGGTACAGGTTCTCCTATGTCATGAGTCTTCACTGACCTTGGAAGGCTAGGACCAAAATGTTGGCTGTCCTTGAAGACCTTCTTTTTCTCTAATTTTTGTCATTATGTAGTCAAGCAATAACTAGGAGACTTTTTTTTTTTTTTTTTTTGGTATTGGATACAGGGTCTCACTACGCAGCTCAGACCTGCTGTGATCCTCCTGTTTTCAGCCTTCCTGGTGCTAGGATTACAGGCATGTGCCACCATGCCTGGTCTCAGTGGCCAGCTCAGCACACCTGGTGGTGGGGTTTGTGCAGTTTGTGGTGCCGGGGATCAAATCTCAGTCACTGCACTTGCCTAAGCAGGAGCTTAGTCGGCTGAGTTATCTTACCAGCCTTACTAGGAGACATTTTAACCTGTCAAGTGTTTTCACAAGAGTTAGTAAAATAAATGAGCTGAATGCCATCCGCCTGGGTAAAGTACCACCCAAACATGCAGATAAATAGCTTGGGTCTTGAAAATACTCCAGATAGCTTTTCAGAAGTCACTTTACATTCTGACTGCAGGCTAAATGGCTCATGGGCCAGCCACTGTTGCTCCTTCTCAAATGGTTAAGTCTGAGGACAAAGCCCTGCACGCGAGGGTGCTCCAAGGATGAGGAACAATGCTATCCATAGGGACGCTCAACCTACGCTCGTCTCATTTTGTTTTTCTGGTTAGATCAATCTTAACTGATTAGTAACTAATCAGAAATTTATAATTTTGTATTTACTACCTAGAAACTTTACAAAAATTTTGCTTCTTAATCCTTTTATCGAAGCATACCTAGCTATATTTAAAACTGCTTTGTCATCACTTTTAACGTTCTATTTATCACTTTTAAGCCCTCTTCTTTCCAGTTACTTTTACTTCCCATTGACTTATTCTTACACTGATCATCTTTAATGAGATATTCCAATATTCCATTGAACACTTACCTCATAAACTCCCAAAATTTCCCTACTCTGGGGCAATTAGATTATAATGTTACAATGAAATGGCAAGTACTTTAAAATACTTTCCAAAATATAAACATTATTTAAAATTATTGACTCTAGAAACATTTCTAAGAATTAAATTATCAAGTTAAAGAAAACGAACAGGTCTTAACTCACCAAGTTCTTTACACAGTTGTTTGGCCTCTGAGAAGCTGTGCAACGCCTGGTCGGTCGTGTAACAGTGATCCCCATACTGGATCCACCGCGACCTGTTTTCTTTTGCTGCTGGACATCTGGATGAATATGCATGCAGGGACAGCTCTTTTGCTATGAAAATGTTAGGCACAGCTGTAATAATGCACAAAACAGTGACTGTCTTCCTACATGACATTAAAAGTCCCTATTTCAAACTCTTGTTTTCGTAGGTAAGGAGTATTTAACTCAACTGACCAAAGAAAGCCGCAGGGTATACTCTGTGAACACACATTTTGGTTAGCTTTCTGGAATACCATTTATTTATTTATTTATTTATTTACTTATTTATTTGGTTGTTACAGGGTCTCACTACGAAGCTCAGACGCACAGTGCTCCTTCTACTTTCAGCCTTCCCAGCACTGGGATCACAGGAGTGTGCCACCATGCCAGGACTCTGTGGCCAGCTCAGTCCACCCTGGGGGCAGGGCTGGCATGGCATGTGGTGCCCGGGATTGAACCACGGTCCCTGCATTTGCCTAAGGTGCTTTAGTCCGCTAAGCTATCTTTCTGGACCCTAGAATACAATTTTTAAAACTTTCAACAGTAGAAAGGTAATTAGCCCTCTGATATGAATTTAAGCCAAAGTAAAGACAACTAGAAAGACAGACTGGGAAAAGAAACAAATATAGGGTGGGTAGGCCTGAAACTACTCTGAAATAATTCAAGTTCTTCCTTTCTGTGGATTCTTCCCCCTTTTGATTAATATACGTTTGCAGTAATAGTAAATATGCAGATCACATCTTGGTTCTTTTCACTTCCTCTTCCCTGAAGCTTCCATCACCCCTCCTACCTCCTTGGATTCCTCTTTATTTTGAAAATATAAGCCTAAATTTAACTAGACTTACAGAGAATTATTTTTAGTAATTACACTCATAAACGATATCTTGGTAATTTGGTGTACAATCAGTATTTCAAAATCTCTCATGAACCAAAAACAGAGTAGGTATAGCTTCTCAGCTCTTAAAGAGAAAAACAAAAAAGTTTCCACTTAAACTGCTTGATTATTAATTGTGCTATGTAGCACACTGAGCCCTTGTAATGAAGCTATTGCTCCTTAATGCCTATGAATAATCCCAATACAAGAGCATATAACCTAGTCCCAGTCAATTATCTCAACCCAGATGGTTGTGCATGTGGTCTGCACCTCCTCAGGTAACTGGGAGCTCTTTCTAATTTTTCTCCATGTCTCAGTGTGGTAGAATCTCCCTTCTTTGTGGTCTCTAATAGTTTCCAGAGAAATGGTTGCTTCTTTTCTTCTCTTATCAAGAGACTTCCGGTGGCCCTTGTTTCCTTCACTTCCCTATCTTCTGTTAGAAGTCAGCCTTGATCTTTAGAATTTCAATTATCTCACTGGCTTTCGTCTTATGTTATTTCTCAGTTCTATCAGTTTGAGATCTAAGTCTTTTAGCTCAACACTTAGAGCTCTAAGTTTTCCAGCTGCTGATGATCAGAACTAGTTTGCCAAATTTCTTTGTCAAGGTTATAAAACTCTGACAACTCCTCAGTGAGGCTGTGAAGGAAGCAGGCATTACTACCAAGTTACTACTTCTGCTATGTTGTAAAAATATTTGGTTTGTCAGAGGATGACTGTGGACTCTACACTGTCATGCTGGGCTTAAATGTGTGTAGTTTCATTAGATACAAAGCATGGTGAACCACTGGCCAGCATGATGGCATTCCTAGAACTGGTGGACTTCCCTGAACTTTAAAAAAAATTCTCACACTAGAGTCAAATGAAGATGACTTATCTTTAAAGTCTGCTGGTTTCCCATATTGTCTACAGCTGAGGTGCTATTATGGTTTGTGTCTAGTTGTTCCCCCAAAGCTTCATGCAGTCATGGGGTAAGGACTTCTACAGTTTGTGATTAACTCATGATCCACTGGGATTATGTGTGATCCAAGGCTGGAATTATGGGTTTTAGTACTGCTGGGATTAAGGGTGTGAGTACTTCCCCTAGCCTGGGGCAGAGAGCCTGAATATAATATAAGAGACAGAGAGACAGACTTTAGTTAACCATTGCTGCTTGTTGTTGTTGCTGCTGTTCGGCCGCCATGAAGTGCTGCTCTCTAACCTGTGCCCCTCTGCCTTGGAGCCAGCTGAATATGGACTGAAACCTCCAGTAACTAAATAAACCTTTCCTTCCTTCATTTTGGGTGTCAGATATTTGTCCCAGCAACTAGAGAAGAGTAGCTAAGACAGGTACCTTGGGTTGTACACGTTCCTCATCCTACCTATTCCTTGAGAAATTTTGCTTTGAAATCTTACACTTTTTTTTTTTTAAAGGAACGGGCCTATACTGTAAATTTGCTATATTTCTGTTCAAGAAGCTCTTATTTTTTTGTACTGTGGTGAAATACACATCACTTACAACTTAACATGTTAAATACTTTGAAGTGTATAGTTCAGCAACCATTACCTAATTCACATTTTAGAGTAACCATTACCACTGCCAATCATTGAAACTTTCATCTTGCAAAACTGAAACTCTGTAGTCATTAAAAAGTAACACCTAGAGCTGGCCAAATAGCTCAGTGGATTAAAGGGCCTGCAAGCAGGCACAGGGGCCAGGGGTTCAATCTCTGTGCCTGCTGTGCTGGCCTCACCCTTGGGGTGCAATGATATGGCAATTGAGATTGGGCATGGTGATGCGCGCCTGTAATCCCAGCTCTTGAGAGGCTGTAAACAGATGAATCACTACGAGTCCGATCTAGTAGTGAGATCTTGAACACCTTTAGACCCTTCCCTAAAAATAAAATAAATAAATGGTAACACCTTATGTTGGGAAAAGTGGTTCTTTGCTTGCATAAGAATGAAATTGGACCCTTATCTCTCACTATCTATTAAATTAAAATTGAAATGATTCAAAGATCTAAACATTACAGCAGAAACATACCTTCTGGAAGATAAAATAGGTAAAACACTTGAAGACATAGGTATAGGAAAGGATTTTCTAAACAGAGTATCAGTTGTACAAGAAATAGCAAGAAGAGTCAACAAATGGGATTATATCATACCAAAAAGCTTCTGCACAGAGGAAGAATCAGTCAGTAGCTTGAAGAGTCAACATACAGAGTAGAAAATTTTTTTTCTAGCTACTCATGACACAGAGAACTATTATTTAAAGTATACAAAGAGCTAAAAAAATTGAACCACCTAAAATTAAAGAACCAGTCAGGAAATGGGCAAGAGAAATGAGTAGACACTTCATAGGAAGATACACAAATGATGAACAGACAAAAGAAAAAATATTCAACATTTCTGGCTATTAGCAAAATGTAAATTAAAACACCTTTAAGATTCATTTCATCTTCCTCTGGAAGAATGACAGTCATTAGCCTGATGTGGCTGTGGTACAAAAGGAACGCTCCTTCATTATTGATGGGAATGTATACTATACAACCATTATAAAAATCAGAATGATGATGTACCAAAGGACTGAAGCTAGCAATTCCATAGGACCCAGCTATCCCCATGCTAGGTGTTTTCCTCAAAGAGCTTAAGTCATCATACCACATCACACAACAGCAATATATTTATAGCAGTACGTTGGTAATAGCTAAATCCTGGGAGCAGCCTGTATACCTATCAACAGATGACTGGATAAACAAAGTATAGTATCCATACATGGAATACTACTTGACTATAAAAAGTGACAAATGTGAGACATTTGTAGGAAAATGGTTGCATTTGGAAAATACAATATTGAGTGAAATAAACTAGACACACAACCTGAAATACCACTCTCATTTAAGTGAAGCAAAGTACAAAGAAAATGATATTGAATGGACAGAAAGGGAGAAGAGGACATTAAAACATTAAAACAGAAACATTATACCTTCTGGAAGATAAAATAGGTAAAACACTTAAAGACATAGGTATAGAAAAAGATTTTCTAAACAAAATATCAATTACACAGAAATAGCAGGAAGTGTCAACAAGTGGGTTATAATGCATGTATGCAACCCAGGACACTCCAGCTTCCCTTTTGCAACAGGGAAGTCGTCAAAGAGAACAAGGGTGAGAGATAAGGAGGAGGGGACGGGGAAACAAGACTAAAGATATGCCATGTACAGGAGCTTACTAAATCCAATGAATGTAAGCACTATAGGCCAGAACATGAGCTCAAATTATATCAACAAGTATGAAATATGGGAGACAGGAGAGACAGTGGAGCAGGGAAGGGACAGAGAGGCGTCAGAGGAAGGGACTAAAAACAAAGCTGCAATATGTACATGGAACCATTCCCAAAATGATTGGAAACTGCATGAATTGGAAACATGGACTAATAAAAAATAAATTTTAAAAAGTTTTACAAAAATAAAAACAAAAAAAAAGCAACACCTCAAACTACACTCCCTATAGGACTTAATAATCAACATTCTACTTTCTGCTTCTGCGAATCTGAGGACTCTACATACCTCATGTAGGTGAAATCATGCAATATTTGTCTTTTTGTGATCAAATATTTCACTGAGTATGTCTTCGAGATTCAGTCATACTGTAGAATTGTAGCATCTGTTTTTATAGTTGAGCAATATTCCTCTCTGTGTGTATGTGTACGCATTTTGCTTATACCTTCAACTATAGGCAGATATCTTGGTTACTTCCATATTTTGGTGCTATGAACATATTCTACAAAATTTATTTAGGTCTCTGTTTTTT